AGCTGAAACAGCCTCAAGTGCCAAATCACTGGCGTCTGGATCCGATTGAGGAAATTACTCAAAAAAATAAATAAATAAATTTTAAAAAACGAGTAGGACCATGTGTGAACATGTGGGGATGGATGTCTTTAGCATCTTAGAAAAACATTGTACACTGCATTTTTCCCATAGATCGTGACTTTTCTCATTCCAAAAAGCAACATCACAGGCCATTAAGAGAAACTCAAAGATTAGCAGGACTACAGACCGCAGGACTTTTCAGACCGGAAACGCAAGCTCATGCGAAAAATGTTGCATTTCGCTGCGTTCCAAAGTTCAAGTTTGGTGAACTCTGACCTGCGAATTCGCATCACGTGAAGACGTTTGACCAGTAGAAGATCGATACGTCACTGCGTGACCTCTGTACAGAACTTCAAAAATGGAGGAAGCGCTCATTTTAGCCGTATATAGAGAGAGAGAGAGAGAGAGTACAATATAATTATTATACACAGGTGTATTATTATTGTCATATCCTGCTCCCGCCCATATTCGCAGCAGTGTCCGAAAAAATTTCGCATGTTCAAAGTCTAGTGTGACCGCACCTTAAATGCAAACGCGACAAAAAAATTAAACAACCGATATAAATTTTAAATCTATGCTGCGTCCCAAATGATGCACCATATACACTATGCACTCATACACTATGTACTTATGCACTAGAGGGCTACATACTCAACCATGAAGTGTATGAATTATATAATGTTATTTTGTCATTCATAATCGGAGTCTGATAGCCCATCCCCCTTCGCTACGTAATTAAAGCTGCCAACATTCCACACTTCGTTTTTTCGGTTATTTAAGTGCATCATCCGGGTATTTAAAGTGCACTTTTTCTTTTTGGAATTTTCAGTGTGAATGCACTACTCGCACTATTTATACTAAAAAACGTCATAGAATAGTGCGTTAGTACGCGATTTGGGACGCACCTTTAGTTTGACCAACCTGAGTCCACACACGTTTTCGTCAGATGTCATCTCGCTAGAACGCGTGTCAGAGTTTCCTGTGCGCAACAACGAACAGAGTCGTGATGTCCGACTGGCGAACAAATGACTCTTTGATGCCAGTTCTTTTTAATGAGTCAGTCAAAAAGATTCACAAGGCAGCCTCGAAGTCGCTCGTGAGTCGTGAGTGAAGCGGTTTGAATCAGACTTCCGAGCGTTCAGAGCGGTTGCTGTTCACAACTGACTCTTGACTGAACCGTGAGTCATTTTTCTTTGAAACGACTAACTGTGACATACTACTTTAGATTCGTGACTGGTTTTTCCTATGACAGCATATAATTAAAGATACACATTCACAACAGTTTTAAGTATTTTAACATTTGATATCCAAATGTGACGATTAATCGACTGTGAGACTAAGTTTGGGTAACATATTGGAACCATAACCATGACAAAATTGTACTTTTTTTTTCTTCAAACAGACCAAAATATTCGTTAAAATATAATGTTATTCATATGACACAAATACAGTCAGGATCAGTAGATTGACAGCATCAAATGAACAAATAGTAAATACAACTATAAAAACACCATTTCATAAACCTCAAGGGTTTTTTTCAGAGGGGTTTATAAACTTCTTAAAGAAGGCGTTCTCATGAGTCACAACCACCCCACTCCTGTAATCCTCTGCTTTGAATGTGGGAAAGCGAAATTTCCCTCCATCTTTTGTTCATAAGACTGAATCCCAGACTAATGACTAAATACAAAAAACAGCCTTTTGTATATCAGCCCCCAGATATGTGGAGCTGTGGGGTTGCTGGACTGCACAGTGTCATAGACCACTGCATTAGCGTGGTAGTCAACAAGTGCGTGAATCTAAAGTGACAAACAGTAAAGAAATAATAGAGAATGTGAAACTATTTTGTCAATGGAGAGGGCGGCGATTGTGTGTGTACGAGAAAGGAATGACACATTATCTCTGGTGACTTCCAGGGCTTATCAGAGGATGTGTTTGATAGAGAACAAAACAGAACGGATGAGGAAGAGAAAGAATGGAGGAAGGTGTTGAAAGAATAGTTCACCTAAAAAAAAAAAAAATCCTGTCATCATTTACTCTCACTCTTTTCCATATAATTAATGGGTATTGTGGCTATCAAGTTTTAAACTGACACAAAAAAGCACCATATAAGTAATCCATGTGACTTTCCTCACTACTTTTCAACTATTAACAGCACACACCATTCTGACATTTCTCACGACCAAATGTTCTCAAATCATGTTTGATTTGAGATAAAAATGGTCAGTGAAAAACTGAAGACATACTTTAGTTTTAATGAGAAATAAACCCAAAATGAGTTTTTCACTGACCATTTGTATCTCAAATCAAACATCATTTTAGAAAACATTTGGTAATGAGAAATGTGAGGATGCTGTGTGCTGTTAAATGGCATGTGTGTGCCATTTGTGAAGTCCATATGACTCTATTTCAGAGTTTATTGTGAATTTGAGGGTAAGCTAATCACAACAGGATTTTCATTTTTGGCTGAACATTTCCTTTCAATGTTGGGTCTGAGACTGTATGTCCTCAAAACTTCAGAATGAAAGTCAGTATTGTGAATTGAGCAAGAATGCACAACAAATTATAACCAACAATGGGAGGTTTATGCTGTTCCTCTTCAAATCTCGAGCGGGAAGAATTGGTCAAGAAGTTCATGCAGGAAATGAGGAGGCTAGGAGCACTATATAAAGTCTATAGTATATATGTAAGCGTTATAATCAAAATGATCCCAAATGGCAGTTTCTTCCGGTGTTTATTTGTACCAGAAATCCCTACTGACCACAACAACATCCATTGCCACGAAACGCTCTCTCTGTTTTGCATAAACGAAAATTACGATTTGGCAACGAAAGCTGCACATTCAGATGTATCCCACTGTAATCTAAATTTTACCTGTCAATACAAGCTGTTTTTCTCTCAAAGGCAAACTTCAGGAAAAAGTTCACTTATTAAAGCGAGGAGATTCAGGCTAAACTCCAGAAAGCTGCAAACACTGACGACACTCTAAATCAATATATTTCCGTGTTCAGGGTTTTTGTGCATTACTGTCAGTCAAACAGAATCCCACCACCAGAAGGAGGTTCAGTGTCACGATAGGGGGCAAATTCAAATAACAAAGGACCCATCATTCAAAGTTTGTTGTGGCTGTGATAGGCTCACTGTAGTTAAGCAGCATTCTGGCCAAAGGCAGTTTACTGAACACAACATAGTTTAGTCGATTGGGAGACAGACAACATGGCCTCGAATGAGTCCCCAAAGAATGCAAAACAACAAGCAATGGAAGAGCAACTTTTCCAAGATTTCCTTTTAAATAATAACATGCCGGTGTTAATCACTGTACTTCTGAGACACCACTGAAACAATTTTTTAAAGGGGTCATAGGATCAAACACTTTTACAAGTTGTTTGAACTGAAATGTGTGTTGGCAGTGTGTGTACACAACCACCCTATAATGATAAAAATCCACCCAGTGTTTTTAAAAAAAAATCTGGTTAAATCTTTACCCCTTTCTCAAATCGGGGACACGGTGTTCCTCTGGAGTGCTTTGTTCGGCAAGGCCCAGTATGACCTCATAGGTGTTTCTCAAGGAAATCCCTCTCCCTTGGAGGTACAATGACAGAGTTTCCTGCTTAAGAAAGCAGGATCCGGCTTCTGACTTACTCACACTCTCCGCTGCCTTATGTAATTCCAATGCAGTTCTACGACTGCTCGTGTTTTACGTACTTGTGCATCACATACTCAAAATAACCAGGGTTATTTATTTATTTAGTCATACTTGTTTATGTGCCTGTTTGCACGTCAGAATGAAAGAACACTGTAGAGGACAATAAGGCTCAAAACATCCTGCATTACAATTATTTGTCTTGTGTTTGAGTATAAGGATGAGAAATGGAAAAAAAAAAATGCAGGAGTTCTTAAATTAAAACAAGAATTAATGTTAACTATTAGCAGCAACAAATATGGGTCAATAAGTGAGGATACTGGTCTCAGATTACAAAAATAACTCTTTTAAAAACAAATCTTATCAAAACATCCTGCATTACAATTATTAGTCTTGTGTTTGAGTATAAGGATGAAAAATGGTTTAAAAAAATGCAGGAGTTCTTAAATTAAAACAAGAATTAATGTTAACTATTAGCAGCAACAAATATGGGTCAATAAGTGAGGATACTGGTCTCAGATTACAAAAATAACTCTTTTAAAAACAAATCTTAGAACTGGAATCTAAAGGCAATGTTTCAAAAATGCAAGTGCTCAAGTAAAAAGTAGCCTACTAAAAAACTTAAATCTTGAAATATTATTTTCAGTAAAGATTTTCACAGTAAAACTTTTTCCCATATTTTTTGTTTGTTTTCTTAACTTCACAAGCCCCAAATATATAATATATATAAAAAAAACTCACAAAAAGAAAAGAAAAAGTTCTTCACAGAAGAAGCATTGACATTTTGAATTGTGTATTTTTATGTAACCTAATAGATGTGAAAAAAATGCGTCACGTCAATGACCTATATATATATATATAATGTCAAAGCACCTTCAAGTTAGCAAAGCAATTCATTAGGCTACCCATAAGTGCTGCATCAGCAGCCCCAGACGAATGCCAAGACCAGCCCACTTCAGGACGAGTCTTGATCCAAGGTTCAGCTCTCACATCACTACACCGGCCGGAGCGTTTGTCAGTTGTACGCAGGACATGGGGGAGAGATAGTGGAGCAGAGGATTTGTCATTTCCAGACACAGTTCAATGTTTCGAACTTAAAAGGTAAACTGCGCTTATCTACACGAATGCGCGAGGTTACATTTGAATATAGAGTTTTGGAGAAGCTGAGTGTGCAGTATGTAAACTAGCGTGGTTTTGCATGGATGCGGACTTTTCGTTTCAGTCACGGACTGGTTAAAGTTTGGTTTGATTTCTCTTATTTCAGCCTGTGGGCTGAGTGAGTAAACGATGTTCTGGTCACGATACGCGTGGAGCAGAGGATTTGTCATTTCCAGACACAGTTCAATGTTTCGAACTTAAAAGGTAAACTGCGCTTATCTACACGAATGCGCGAGGTTACATTTGAATATAGAGTTTTGGAGTCAGTTTTGGAGAAACTGAGTGTGCAGTATGTAAACTAGCGTGGTTTTGCATGGATGCGGACTTTTCGTTTCAGTCACGGACTGGTTAAAGTTTGGTTTGATTTCTCTTATTTCAGCCTGTGGGCTGAGTGAGTAAACGATGTTCTGGTCACGATACGCGCAACACTATTGTGATTATTTACCGAAATAATTATGCAGAAAATGTTTGCGTCGTGTAATTGTCCAATTACGCTGCAAAACTGTTAATAATAAACGATAATAAAGCGTTGAAAAATCTAAAAACGCTAAAGTAAACCTCTTAATTTGATAACCACGATTTTCTTGTCATATAGGCAACTGTAAATATTTTATATTGCAATAGACGATACATGGAAATTAAATGTCTTTTTTTTTTTTTTTAGAAAATGTTTTATAAAGTAAAACATCACGACAATCTACGAAGGAAATGTGTATTTACCAAGGCATTAGGCTATGTATTTTAGAGTACAATACTAAAATAATGTTTTATCTGTAAAAACTTTAGTATTATCAGTAGGCCAACATTTTACACTAACAAACACATTTTAATAGTTCAAATAGGTTGGTATATTAACATATAATTTGATGTCACACATACATGCAACTGATGTCTGTGAAATGTACTTTAGATAAATACTTCATCACTGTATTATTTTTATGGTAAAGGTTTTGACAGCTAGTTAGTTTTTTTTTTTTTTTTTACAGTACTGTATATTTTTGACAGTGTAGCCTACTAATTCTAATACTGATGCTCAAACACGGGTTACTTTATTAAAGTATTTCTTTGTTTTTCTTCAATTGTAGATGTCCATTTGTTTAGGCTAGATAAATTTGACAGCTACAACTACTTTTTTTTTTTTTACAGTACTGTATTTTTTTTACAGTGTACTGACTAATTCTAATACTGATACTCAAACACAATTTACTTTAATACTTTTTCAGAATTCCTAATCAAATAGTCTAATTAAAATGATAAAAATAGTTTATTGTCTACTATGTCTACACTGAAATAAAATATTGACCATGAAAGTATAATTAAACAACTGAAATAGAACATGATAAATGCTAAATATTCAATTGAATATGCATGTTTTTCTTTTTTGTTGTTTTATTTTTACAGGTGTATTTTTATATATTTTGTTTATCATTAAATTATGTTTACCCTAATTATTTAACATTATTTTCTACTGCTTTATTTCAGTTCCCTCTGGTGGCCTTTGAGGATATAGCAAAGCTGTGATTTGAGCATCAAGAAGGACAGAAGTGAATATTTCAATATAAATGATCCTACAACACAAGGATATATTTCAACTACGTTAAATCCTCTTGAGAGTTGTTCTATGTGCTTTGTTGGAACATGGCAATAAGAGGGACTACAGAGATCCTTAAGAAAAGTTTTTAAGGATAGCAAAAGAAGTAGGAAGAATGGAAGCCTCATTCGCTGCTAGCGCCGCCGTTGCTCCAACTCTGCCACCGATTACCTCGTCTCCAGGTTACCTGCGCAGAATGTTTCGGGAGTATCAAAGCAACGCCGTCATCATGGCCCATTACAACTTCACCGGAAAGCTGAAAGAGAACAAATACCGGGATGGACTGAAACCTGAGGCCATTGTGTTTCTTATCATTTGTCTTCTCATTGTGGTGGAAAATGCCATTGTTTTGGTGGCAATATGGAAGAACAAAAAATTCCACATTCCCATGTACTACTTGCTGGGCAACTTGACGCTCTCTGACTTGCTAGCAGGCTTCACCTACATGGTGAACATCGTGACTTCGGGCGCAAACACTCTCAAAATGACTCCAGTGCTGTGGTTTCTTCGAGAAGGCGGTGTGTTTATCACACTTTCTGCGTCTGTCATCAGTCTCCTCGCTATAGCTATCGAGCGGCATGTCACGATGGTCCGGATGAAGCCGTATCAAGGGGCCAAGCGTGGCCGAATGTTCATTTTGATTGGTGCAAGTTGGGTTCTTTCGGTGCTCCTCGGCATTCTCCCAATCATGGGCTGGAATTGCATAGGAAATCTGGACGAATGCTCCACCGTCTTGCCTCTCTACTCCAAGAGTTTCATCCTCTTCTGCATTACCGTGTTCACCCTGGTTCTGATGTCCATCGTGGTGCTCTACGTGCGCATCTTCCGCATAGTAAAGTCCAACACCCATCGGTTAGGCTGCAGCCCTCAGCGCAAAGGTCTGGCCAGGAAGTCCCAGAAGTATCTGGCTCTGCTGAAGACGGTCACCATCGTTCTCGGGGTCTTCATTGCCTGCTGGTTGCCTCTCTTTGTGCTCCTTCTACTGGACTTCTGCTGCCCTGCTCAAAGCTGCGAGGTGCTGTTCAAGGCGGACTACTTCCTGGGTATCGCCATGATCAACTCGCTCCTAAACCCCATCATTTACACCCTAACTAGTAAAGACATGCGGAGAGCCATTCTGAGACTAGTCTGCAGCTACTGTCTGATATCAAAAGATGGAGAGGTGAAGAAGTTTGGCATGTCTTTTCTGGACTGTAGCACCAGTAAGGTTGAGGTGCCATCACACAGACTGGAGGGCCTGGAGACGACGGTCTCCACTGGGAACTTCACACCATCCACTATTAAAGCTATCTACCCGATGATATTGAAGAGCTGAGGAAAAAGAATGCATTAAGTTCAAACTGACAATGCAAGTCTTAATGGACAGTTGAACTTCTTCTGGTTCAGGTTGAATATTTATAAAACTGCCAAAGAGACAAGTATGAGGTGCGTCGAAATGAATTCAGGAGACGTTGGATGAGATGGAACTCATAAATGTTGTTTTTGACTTCAGAGTTGAAGACTTGGTTTCTTCCACATGCATTGAAGCAAACCAGAGAACATGGTAGACCAGACAAGAGGATTTTTTTTTTTTTTACTGTGATAAAAACCAGTGTTTAAAATGGATTGTCTGAGGGTCAATACAAGAGCTACGGTGCCTTTTAAAAAATTGGATTTTGAACATCAAAAAACAAGCAGTTAAACAGCTGAACTGAGCAAATGCGATGCATTGTGCAAATATGCTTTGAAAAGAACTCTTCTGATGTTATACGAGACTCTTATGAGCATTTTCAAAAATAATGAGCTTGTGTAACGAGTCATTTTCACCTCCAGTGTAAATAACAGCTGAAATGTTCAGAGAATTTGTGGTGAAAAGACGCAAAGAAAAATGACGGGTTGATGCCTCCACACACAAGCATGTTGTTAGTCCACGGGCATTTTAAGAGTACATATGCACGCAAATAAAAACTACAAGGCAAGTGACTATTTTTAATTTGTAAGATGTTTCCTCTTATAATGGTATTTTGGGAAGTACTGTTTTCATGTTAAAGCTCCCCTTAACCATTTAACCAAGTATGCTATACTTGTCTTTATTTGCTTATTCAGTAAATATAGTTTCAACTGACATAAGGTGGCACAAGCTATATAAATATTGTAACATAGTTTTTATGTTGTTGTATGGAATGGCATCATTTATGTGTAGCAGTCTGCAGCGATAAAAACAGCACTGACATTCAAGTAATATTGCATTTCTGTAAAACTGTGTACTGAAAAAGATGCATTTGCATGTGTTTAAATGTATTTTGATGATCCTAAATTATGAGCCTTAAAAACAAATCTTTTATAAATGCATTAATTAAAAATTCTCTTGAATGTTTGCTATTTGTTTAGTGTTTTAGTTTTGTTTTTTGATTACATTTAAGCTCTGCCCATTGTTTCCCATGAAAAATAAAATAGAGGGTGAAACAAATATGCATAAGTAGTTGTTTTTAAATACATACATTTTGCTCAGATGCAGTGGAAAACCCATCCACTGTTATATTATGAGCATAGTTATAAAACAGCAAATGCACAAATCTAAATGGTGCATGCAAGAATTTGAAAACAATGCTCTCAAAGTGAGTCTAGCTGATTTCCAGTTGCCTCAATCACACTCACACCACATGTTAACCAAGCATAAACTAAACTATATTGTGGTTTCGACTTTTCACATGAGTCACACACAGAATTTTCTCACCGTTCTGTTTTTGCAAAAAACCCCTACAGAAAAAAAGATCATAAGCTCGTGCCAGTCCGGATGTTTATCGAAGCTGAAACGCCATGTGTCTGCACCTCAAGGGCATGATGTGACTCATTTTAGAAGTTAAACGACCAAAGGTTAAACTGGTCACGCACACAGAGTAGGATGACTAGGCTTTTGAAAGAATACCCATCCATCTGCACTGGACAGATATTAAACACTGAAATTAGAAATAGTGAAAGTAGTGTAGTGTAGTGAAAGTACAGAAAGAAAAGATGAGGACAAAATATGTGACTTGAAAAAAGCTCTGGGAAATTATATAAAATCATTCTGGGTGAAAATGAAACCAAATCTGAATATATGCTATGTCCTACATCGTCACACTTTATATTTAAAAACATCAATTAAAAATATTTAAATCTAAACCTTAGACAGGAGCTATATAAAATGAGTCTGATTTATTAATTATACATCTAAATATACGCACATCTAAAAAAAAAACCCAACAACAAACAAACTAACATATCACTAACATATCTCCATAGTTTCAGTTCGTGTTTTTCATTTTTGTCATGTCAATAAATCCTAATAATTAGGATTTTGTCTGCCAGCAAAAAAAATAAACAGTACAATAAAAGTAACTTTGAAGGATTAAGCACACCAAGACTGAAACAAAAAAGCAGTACGAACAAACAAAACGAGAAACTCGCTTTCATGTTAATGCAAGTTACAACCCATCTACCCCTATATTTTTTTAAATATGCTGCATGTGTTTTATATTTTCTTTGTCATTTTTTTTTTAGAAGTCCTGAGAAATCCCTCTCTAAATTAGTATTCAAAAAGTATTAAAAGAGTACTTAATTTCATTACAACATTTGCAAAAATTGATTTTAAATTTCATAGGAAATTCCCTGCTCTATGGAAACAGCAGGTGAGCCTTTTAACAAAGAGCCAATTATAACACAAAACTCACAAAATGCTATTCTAGTAATGCAAAACATGCATTTTCAGGCTGTGGGGGGAACTTTGTGAATGCATAGTGACATCTTGTGGTGTGTGATGCAAAGGGGACAAATTTATTAACAGACTTACAAAACACATACACATATATACACGCATAAAAACAAACAGTAATTTAGCTAACAGTGTACATGTGCACCAGGTCTACCATTCAGTATTGACCAGGCTCCACAGGTCATCGCTGATCTCACAGGGCGAGCGGGTGGATGTGTCTATGTTAATGGGGGCTGCCACATCCGCACCGTAGTGAACTGCCAAGAGACAAAAGGGATTTCATTCAGTCTAGAATATGAAACTTTTATGTTTACCATCATATACAGTAAATATGTCAGGATTACCTCCCCTCAGTATGTGCGGCTCTGTGTCCACCTCCAGCTTTATCTTGGTTACTTTAAAGTAGAGCTGAGCAACGTATCTATATCAAGTAAGCAGCAAAACAATACAGACTTTTTTTAGTGGACATGATTTCAAAGCAGTCTGGCAAAACATTGACTCAGTCATCAACATAGTTTTTTCATTTAAAAAATCATAAGGATTGCACTTGAGCGATTCATAGCTATGAAATATTTTAGGGCATAATTAAAATAAATTATACTCCAGATATTTTCAGGTTTTCAATGACCATGTGAACCTGGTGACATACTCTTCCATTCCAAAATTGTCTGGGTGTCAAAGAAATTAGTACTTTTATCAAGGATGCATTAAATTGATCAAAAGTGACAGTAAAGACATTATTAGTGTTACAAAAGATTTCAAATAAATGCTGTTCTTTTGAACTTTCTATTCCTGAATCCTGAAAAAGCATGTCAGTTTCCACAAAAATATTAAGCTGTTTTTTCCAACATTGATAATAAGAAATGTCTCTTGAGCTCCACATCAGCATATTAGAATGATTTCTGAAGGATCATGAGACACTGAAGACTGGAGTAATGATGCTGAATATTCAGCTTTGTATCACAGGAATAAACATTTTTAAATTGTATTAAAATAGAAAACAGTTTCTTTAAATGGTAATAATATTTGACAATATTACTGTTTTTAGTGTATTTATCAAATAAATGCAGCCTTAGTGAGCATAAGAGATTATAATAATAATTTTAAAAACCCTTTTGAATGGTAGTGTACACGATAGGGGATTGAACAATGTAGTCCTTTGTCATTACAAACACAAGGTGAACTAAAGCCAGCTCAGTGCTTACATGGCTGAAGGAATGACCTCAGTTGTGTCCTCATCCACTTCCTGTTGCAGAGTTTGAATTTCCTGCTCGGTATCTCGGAGTCTTTCCAACTCTTTCTGCAAGTATCTGACCCATGTGTTAAGGAAACCACAGTAAACAACCAAACTAAAGGGTAGCAAAGTTCATAATCAAAACGTAAACTAAACAACACTCATTTTTGGTCAAATAATAATAAAAAACACAAAACAGATCTTATCTGAGATTAACTTTATAATATAATAATATAACTAATATAACTTTATATATAAGATTAGTGAGCCTGGCAGTACTTAAAGGAGACATATTATGTCCCTTTTTACAATATGTAATACAAGTCTCTGGTGTCCCCAGAATGTGTCTGTGAAGTTTCAGCTCAAAACATTTTAACAATCTGCAAATTTGTGTGCCTCACACAGAAATTTTACTAAAAGTTGTATATACAGTACATAAATGCACATTAACTGTACATTAACCTACTGATCTTGATGTATATTACTTTATTGTTTTCAATGTATTTATTTTTTATTTTAGGGTTAGTGGTTTAATTGTAATTTAAATGTTCTTTCTATTCTCTTGTGTTATATGTATGTTTGCATGTATGTACCCAGAGCTCCAGGAAACCACAACAAAATCCTTGTGTGTTTGCGCACACTTGCGAATAAAGCTCATTCTGATTCTGATTCTGGCCAATTATTATAATGAGAGCAGGTTCTGGTTCAGGTCTGAGGGGAAACATCATACTGAAGGATACTCCTGCTCTGAGTCCAGGATTTGGCTTTTGGAGAGGCTCCGCTGTACTTCCTGCTCCATCCTCTCGATCTCCTGCGCCATTTGGCTCTTCTGCCACTCTAAATCCAGAAGTTTCTGACCGACCTCTTCCTCTGCATGTACAAGACCTTAAAAAGAAGACAACACAGGAAGAAATTTTAAGTTTTTTGTATTTAGTTTTTATCATTGTATTTTGTAAGTTAATATTAATTAGTAAGCTAAAAGTTAGCATTAGTAGTAAAGGAATACCATTTAAGAGCTCGGTTGTGGTCTTCTTGGTCTTGATGTGGTGGTCAAAGAACTCCTGCAGGTTCTCTCTTGCTCCTCGAAGAGCGCTCTCTGCCTTACTGCTCTTGATGAACTCAATCAATGCTTCCCCTGATTTCGCAAGGTCATCGTCATGCATCGCATCGTTCTGTGCCATGTCTGCATTAATAATGCTTCTGCAGAATAATGCAGCACATACTGAGGTGAAGCTGTATGCCACGACAGAACATTTTTTCATTTTTGCAGATACTTTTATTTAAGCGACTTACAAATGAGGAACAACGCAAGCAATATGTCATAGTTAACAAGTTTCACAGTAAAAAAACAAAACAAAAAAAAAGATTAGTAAACAAGCTAAAGCAGTGGTGAAATACTGAAAAGAAATATAAATATTACTGAAAAAAAGGATAAATATTTATGTAGTGAGTTATAATCAATGCATTTTAACTGGAAGTCAAACCAGAAATATGAAGGCTACTTTTTATTTAACAGTTTTGCTGTATTATATGTTAGATATTATTCAGTGCTCGACAAGATTTAACCAAGATTTTAACCAACAATAAGAGTTCTTGCTAACATTTTCACTGGCACCAAATGACAAATTTGTATTTTCAGCAATGCTTCCCCTCCCCCCCCCCAGAAATATTTATATTTTTCATTAAATGTCTCATTCATCTACAGCTATAAATAACATACCTGCATACATGGCAAACAATGCAAATGGTTGGTTTGAAGTTTGCAACACATTCTTCATGACGCTATATTTTTTACACATTCAACAAAACCCCTTTTGAAACAAAAATAACTGCGAATCAGTAGCCCTATTAGCTGTTAAAGTATATAGTATAGTATGAAAGGTGTATAACTAATATTAAAATTAGAGACTGTTGTTTAGTAAACATCAACATGATCTCAAAAAAAAAAAACTGCCTAAAAACAACCACACAATAACGCATCCACAAATAAGTTACATGAATTATGGATTTAGTCAATGTGGCGCTTTAGAACTCTTCCAAATAACACTTATTAATCAAATATACAATATAGTGGTTTATTGTAATATATTCAAGAGCAAATAGTCTCACCCGATCCACGCGCTGTTTATCCGGATTTCAAACTGGCGGCTGCTTGGCGCGCTTTCCAGAAACGCGCCTGAATAAAAACCAGCTTCAGTACTTCAAACTTTTGTTTTCCCTCCATCGTGATCATTGTTTTAATACATTAAATTATATAAAATCCATAATATGCTCTTCACAACTAGTCGAGGTTATTTTAAATACGCTGGAATTACGGTCAGGCAACTATCTGAGACACCTAAACCGCGCTTGTCAAAAGTCCAAACCTACAGTCTATGGTCCAAACCAAAGCAAAGCCCCAAAGCGATGCAAGCAAAGCCACTAGTAGGCTTTAATAATAATAATAATAATAATAATAATAAAGCTTTAAGAAGTAATACATGAACATTAAGTTTAAGATTAAATGCCACTTAATCGGAAATATCTTTATTGTATTTAAAAGAACACGTTTTCTCTATGAATCATAAGTTGTTGTGATTCTATGCTTGCAATTGAAAATTTAGGTAATAAAATCTTTGGATTTGTTCTATTTTAAAAGAGAATCTGGCATAACTCCATCAAAACTCAGTAACTAATTCTGACAACTATAATGTAATGTTTTCCATTTCCTAGAGCAGAGCGCTCAACACATAATATGAAAAGTCATGTGAAAGAAGTGTCTTTATTTCTACTACAACTATTCTTTTTTTATTTTTTAGGAACATAGATAAAATCCATCCGTGACACTGATGAACCAGAAACTTTCAAGATTCAAGCAAGGTATTAAAATGAGAAAGCTTATTATTTCATGGTTTCTGGTCCCTCGTGAAAAAAAATACAATAAAATTCAATATGCCAAACACAAACTCAAAATGGTTTACTTTCAGCATGACTGTTTGCTCTTTTTCTGCTGCTTTTCCTTTTTCTCCCGCTCTTTTCTCTTCTGTCTGTACAGCTCTCTAAAGTGGAGTCTCTTTGGATTCAGCCCGTAGGCTTGGAGTCTCTGTCTGCTGAACTCTCTTCCAGCCATCTTCACCGTCATGGACCTGGAAAGTAGGCGTCCGCCCCTGTGCCTCATTTTCTTTTTAAGCCATTGAGGTTTTTCAGTCCTTTCCTTGGCCACCTCCTCTTTCGGGGTTACAGCAGTCTCTTCCAGCTTCTTCTTTTTCTTAGGAACCAGGAACTCCTCATCATCCTCCCCTTCATCCTGTACAGCGACTTCTTTGAGGTCCTGGACGTCTGTTTGGTCTATGCCGTCAACTACAGGGCTTTCAGATGTATCTTCTGACAGATCTTGCTTCTCCATCTTGACCTCAGACCTCTTTAGACGATCCCTTCGCTTCTTACCCATCTTCCCCTTGGGCTCCATCAGCTCTTCCTGACCTTCGTCCCTGTGTAAAGAAGCCAAGCTCGGTTTTCATTTGTATGAGGTTGACATTGTGTGTCATGATTATGGTGTTTAAAGGAACACTTACTCATTATACAAAGACACAAACACTTGCTGTTTCTTCTTGTTATTCCGTGCTTTGATCTGGAAGTTCTTCACGTCACATAGCTCCTCCCTCTCTGACCTAAACGAGGAGAAATGTAGCAAAACTCATCAAAAACCTATTCCAAGCCAGTGAAAAAATGTATTTATTTAGCTAAAGTTATTTTCCCAGATAATATCATTAAACGGTATCACTATATATTCCGAAACTTCACTATAGCTCCAGGTTAACTCATATCAATCACAAAAACTACTGTGTGGCACCTGTACATGCAGGTCTTCCTCAGTGAGCACCAGCGGTTCAACTCACTTTCATCTGCTTTCAGGATCTATGGAAAGAGGTTCAGTTGAGAATAACATGGAAATATTAGCTAGATGATTTCAGAAGGTATTTTTTTTCTAAATAAGATACTAATAAATAAATCACAGAGAAGAATATATAATAGATTATTTTTATTAAATCATGCAAAATTCTAGGGACGCACAAATTGTGGCTAATAATACAACTAATAATTCTTTTCATACTACTACGTTTGGGGTTAGTATGTTTTTTTATTTTTTTTTGAAAGAAGTCTCTTATGCTCACTAAGGACTTATTTGATCAAATATACATTAAAAACTGTAATATTGTGAAATATTCTTACAATTTAAAAGAAAGGTTTTCTATGTTAATATATTTTGCAATATAATTTATTCCCGATATGTTAAAGCTGAATTTTCAGCATCATTACTCCAGTCTTCAGAGTCACATGATCCTTCAGAAATCATTCTGATATGATGATTTGCTGCTCAAGAAACATTTTTGATTATTATCAATGTTGAAAACAGTTGTGCTGCTTAATATTTCTGTGAAAACTAATAATTTCCCCCCCAGAATTCTTTGTTGAATAGAAAGTTCAAAAGAACAGCATTTATTTGAAATGTAAATCTTTTGTAACATTATAAATGTCTTGACTGTCACTTTCGATCAATTTAATGCATCCTTGCTGAATAATAATTTAAAAAAAATCTTATTGACCCCAAACTTTTAAATGGTAGTTTATAAATATATATAAAATAATAATGCAACACAGTAATTGTTACTAAATTAATACTAATAATAAAAGCAAGTAGGTTTTGGCAACGTCAACTGACTGATATGCATTACAAAAATAAAATATTAGCAGATATGGTCCTTATATACTTGGCATAAACCTCCAGCTTGACCACTGAAAGATTTACTTAAAATGCCAGAGTGGACATGAAGCTCAAACATACTAAACACAGCTCTCAAATCCTCTATGATCTAAATGCGAGACATTCAGTGCAGATCTGCTCAGAGAGAAGATTTCTGTCCTCAGACCCTGGTCAGAGTTATTCCCAGAGGAACAGCAATACCAGGTCAGACACGATCACTCATCAGCACAGAACTCAGAGTTAATCATCATCCAGACACGTTACTGCTGCTCGTAGCTCCTCACCTCATCAGCGGTCAGACCGAAGTCATTCTGTACAACTTCTCTATAGCGAAATCTGCATGGCAAGTCATCAATGATGTCCTCATAATCCAGTTTATAGTACTCGTCCAAATACTGCTCAAAGGTTTTCTCCTCTGGAAACATGATTGGTAATCAATGTATAAACCATTGATTATACATGAATACAGAAGTTTAAATTTTCATTTTGTCTGACCAATGACAGACAATGGCAGTGTCCTGTCTAAAAATACACCTAACACTCACTTGGATCAAAAACTGGCTTGTTTTTGGTGATGATCTCTGCAAAGTGGGACTTCTTCCTCTTCTTTCCCATTAGAGGGGCATCCTCTTTGGTCTTCTTTTTCCTCTGCTCTCTCTCTTTCTTTCTCTTCTTTTTAGAAACGGGCTGTTGACTTGGGTCATAGTCAGCATCCATCTACCCAAGAGATTTCAGGTGAGATTAAGAGCGGACACCATATACAGGGAACACAGTAGTTCAGTGCTGCATTTGTTTTGTGCATTAAGTATGAGAAACGGTCTTACTATAAAGTCAGGATCTACAAAGTTGGGCTCATAGTCTTCCTCTGCAGCATAATCTTCCTCATCTCCATACTTGTCCTCATTTTCCTCCTTTCCGACCCATGTGTCCCAGTTCCAGTTTTCTACAAAACATTCCATATTCAAATCACAAAAAAGCTTCCAAAACTTTGGGATCAGTAGGATGTTTTTGAAAGAAGTCTCTTATGCTGACCAAGGCTGCATTTACTTGATCAAAAATATAGTAAAAAGAGTTAAAAATAACAGTTTTTTTAAAGGGGTCATAGGATGCCCATTTTCCACAAGTTGATATGATTTTTTAGGGTCTTAATGAAAAGTCTGTAACATAGTTTGGTTAAAATTTCTCAATGGTAGTGTAAAAAACACATTTTTTACCCTGTCAAAAACAGCTCTTTTCAGATCAAGCCGTTTTTGTAGCATTTTCCTTTAAATGTTAATGAGCTCTGCTGACCTCGCCCCTCTCTTTCGAGCTGCCTAGTCATCGTGA